GCTTTAAATTGCCTGACTGTGATTCCCCCTCAAAGATTCTTGGACTTCAATGGGATACAATTAAGGATATCTTCTGTTTTAATGCACAAGACGTTATTGATTTCATCCAGTCAAATGACCAAACAAAACGTTGTGTTTTAAAAGCTGCTTCAAAAATCTTCGATCCTGTTGGGTTTCTTGCTCCATATGTTATTCAAGCAAAAGTTCTGTTTCAGGATTTATGGCTGAAAGGTGTTGATTGGGATGAAATTATCCCACCAGAATTGCAAGACAAGTGGAACAAATGGTATAGGCAACTATGTGATCTACCTAATATCCAGATACCTCGGTGGTATTTTCGTGATGTTGATGAAACGCCTGAAACACTGGAACTACATTGTTTTTGTGATTCATCTCAAAGTGCTTACGGAGCAGCAGTGTACGTGAAATTCCGTAGCTTAAAATATTGTGGAACAAGTTTAGTGATAGCCAAGAGCAGAGTGGCTCCCCTGAAAAAATTATCTTTACCAAGACTCGAGCTCATGGCAGCAGTGTTAGGTGCAAGACTTGTAACTACAGTCCGTGTGCATTTTCCTCAAGCTAAGATTCATTTATGGACAGATTCTCTTATTGTGCTTCATTGGATAAAGAACTCACCACGGCTCACCACGGCGATGGAAAACATTCGTACAAAATCGAGTGTCTGAAATCGAAAATTCAAGACAAAACATCCCCGAGCATGTGGCATCATTGTCCTGGCTCAGATAATCCAGCCGATAAAAATCACACGTGGTGTTAAAGTGAGTGATCTTGTAGTAGATCAAGTGTGGTGGCATGGACCTCCATGGCTTCATCAAGATGAAATAAATTGGCCTAAAGTGAACAAGCATTGTAACATAGTAGATAGTGTTGAAGAAAGAGTTGTGACTCAAGTTACTAGCAGTGTTCAACCTTTACAACCTGTGTTAAAAATAGAAAACTTTAGTGACTTAGGTAAACTTTTAAGAGTCACGTCATATGTATTTAGATTCATTAATAATTTAAAGTCACAGAATAGAGTGATTGGTCCTGTGACCAAAAATGAAATATGTAATGCTATGTGTTATTGGATTATCTTATCACAAGGTGAGTATTTTTTTGAAGAGTTGAATGATGTTAAATGTAAAAAACCATTGTCTCATAATTCCAAATTGTTTGGGTTAAATCCAGTAATGGATGAAAAGGGTTGTTTAAGAGTTGGAAGTAGATTAGTGAAATCATCATTAGATGTCGATGAAATTCAGCCTATAATATTACCAAATAATTATTTTTCTCGTTTAATTATTTTGAATTGTCATGAAAAGGTACTTCATAGTGGTGTAAATGAAACTTTAGTGCAAGTAAGAGGGAAATTTTGGATTTTAAAAGCTAGACGTTTTGTAAAATCTGTGTTACATGATTGTAGATTTTGTAAAAAATATAATGCTAAAGCTGGACACGAGATATCGGCTCCTCTTCCAGCTGACCGAGTGGAGAAAGCTCAACCATTTGAGGTAAGTGGCATAGATTTCGCTGGCCCTTTGTATTTAAAGGATGGTACAAAAGTGTATATTTCATTGTTTACCTGTGCAGTGACTCGAGGAGTCCATTTAGAATTGTTATCAAATTTAAGTGCAGAGTGTTTCATTCAAGCCTTACGTAGATTTTTTGCACGTAGGGGTATTTGTAGAGTTATATATTCTGATAATGCTAAAACCTTTAAGACTGCTGATCGTGAATTAAAATACTTGTATAAATTATGTAAAGATGAAAAGGTTCTAAATTTCCTTGGTAAAAATGGGTTTGAATGGAAATTTTTTGTAGAAGGTGCTCCTTGGTGGGGCGGATTCTGGGAACGTTTGGTAAGATCTGTAAAAACTTGTTTAAAACGTATCTTAGGTAAAGCTTCTTTATATTATGAAGAACTGTATACTGTTTTAGTTGAAGCTGTTATTAATTCTAGACCTATAACGTATGTATACAATGAACCAAATGAACCTGATCCTCTTTCACCATCTCATTTTATAACTGGATCTAGATTGACTGTTTTACCTTCACCTGAATCTAAACTAGAATCTACAAGATCTCAGTTGATTAAAAGATGGAAGCATAGGCAATTAATATTAGAGCATTTTTGGAAAAGGTTTTATAAAGAATATTTGTTAGAATTAAGATCAGTCATGTTTTCAAAAACTCCAAAGAATTCTCCCGTGTTTAAAATTAATGATGTTGTACTTGTACGAGAAGATAATGTGAAACGCTGTAACTGGAAGATAGGTAGGATTAAGGAATTATTTCATGGAAGAGATGATAGAATTAGATCTTGTGAGATTCAGTTGGATAAGGGTGTTGTTAGAAGACCAATTGAAAGACTTTATAATCTTGAAGTTCAATAAAATTGATGCATCCGTTACGGATGCATGGGGGGGGAGTGTTAAGTTTAGGATTGTGTATCCATAGATCGCCAATAGATGGCGGTTGTGTTGTTTGTAAAAAGAAACTGTGATGTCAATTATGTATATGTATCAGTTCGTCTTTGGTGTTCGTGAATAAATGTTGTGTGGAAGAACGCTCGTCTGTTTATTACTTTAACTGCGATCCAGTCTGATTTATTAGAGATTTACACATATTTTGTTTACATATAATTATCCATTAACAGTGAGTTAATAAAAAAATAAAAGTTTTTTTAAATAAGGTTTTATTTAAAACTCGTAAAAAAATAATTAATGAATTAAAAGGCGAAGATTAATTAATCATATAGTTTATTGGGAACAAATGATTATATAATTCTCTTTACAAAGTTTATTTGAAGTTTTATATTATGAATAATAAAAGCATGAAACATCTTTGATAAATTTATAAAAATAACATATTTTTGCCAATGCAAGTCGATTATTCCGTTTCATTATTTAGCCAACATTTTTATTATTCAATGTATGAAATTATAGATATATTTTATGAAGAGAATAATTTAATTGCTTGTTTCCATCAAACATGTGATAAGTTATTTGTCTCTTATTTTCATTTTTTTTAGTCTCAGTGACACATTAAAAATCAAATTATTCAAAAGAAAAATATTTTTTCAGCATTGAATAATTATTCTTTTTCTTCCAACAATTGTTATGTCAAATGGTTGAAAAATACAGCAATTTTACCAAAAAATCAGAAATTACATTAAAATTGCATGTAAACTTCATTTAAAAGATATTTTCTGCTATATCCAAATAATAAAATTCTCAGAATTTTAGTGTGTTCATTAAACAAAAATATGTACAAAAAATTGTTTCAACATTAACATTTAAACAGTCAAAATCAAAATTTGGGAAAATTTCTTTACAACTATTTATTGTCATATGAGCTTGGTAGCTTATCAGGAAGTGGTTAAAAAATAGCTGGCAAATTTTGATCATAGTAGCAAATGCCATGAGCGAGTTAAAAGCTATAAAAATACAGCTAGTTTAAAAAAATTCTGAAAAGTCTTTTAATTAATATTTCTTTTATCAGTATTGTTTTACAAGAAGGTAAATAGTTTCATTTATGACCTTTAAAAATTTCAAATATTTATGTTGTATATTTTTAGGTGTTAGAATTTTGAAGTCCCATAAACTAATATAATGTAACATACCACAGCAAAATTAAGAAATGAACTTTTAAAATAAGGTGTTGAAAAAAATTTATGTAAACTTAGGAAATATAGAAAATAAAAAGTGATGCAATTAATTTCATTGTGAGTAATTTTAAACTGTAATCAATCCTGTTGAGGTTAATAAAATGAATTGAGAAATCTCTATAGAAACAAGAAACGTGATATAATATAATTTTCTGAAAATCATAATTTTGTTTATATTTATCTAGAAATGAGCATAGATTAAAAGTTCCCAGATAATCGGAATGGTATTGAATTCTGAAATATATCATTAAAACTCAGAATGATTTCTGTGATGCCTAATATGGCACTATCACATTATCTACTCCACCCTTCTGCAAAGTCACCAGCTGTTGGCAACTAATCTTTTTCCAACATTACATGTGAAAACCATTTAAAAAAAATGGCAGCATATTGAAAATTACATGAAACAGAAACAAATTAATGGAATTAAAAATGCAAGAAGTATCCATCTTAAACAGTAAAAATCATATGAAACAAACGTCCATAATGAAAAACTCGAAATTTTATAAAACAGTAACTAATTAACTAAATTAAGAACACAACAAACATCCATAATAAGACAGTTAATTTTCTATTTTCTTGGTCTGTTTTAACTTAGAATTGTACAATTCTTGGTGTCACAGAGCAACTTGGCACTGTTCTCCATGTACACATTGATGTGTTTTGATTTAGAAAAAGCATCATAGAATTTCAGAGAAAAACTATTATCACAGTCACTGTTCACAAACTACTTTTGAACTGCAAGATTTCTATAATAATGTAGCATCAGGGATAAGAAATGTTATTCAAATGTGTTATATTTGAACACTTTGCTGGCTATTTTTAACAGTACATTTCATACAATTCTACTATTTGTAATGTTTAGCCTCGGAGATATGCATTCCTACAACTAGTAAAATGCAGTATTTCTAAAAAAAAGAAATGTGACAAACTCTACAATTGCATTATGATTTGTTTCAAGAAAACTACTTCAGCAATATTGCACTTTGTCCAATGATTCTTATCAAGGATTTGTGGATAATTTGATATTACCCCTAATATTAATATTCATCTGCTCTTTCCTTCATTTTATTGTATGTAAATCCAAGCAACAGTGCAAGATGGTGTGTAATTCTAATATTTTCCTTCTCTTCATATCTTTCCTTTGATTCATTTTCAAATAGAAGGAATATTAAATGCTTAAAAATGTAAATGGATTGTAGAAAAATCAAGTAACGAATAATACAAATTATTTATTTCTTTTGTATAATTGAATGTTTTAGTAATTTTTTCTGTTTTCACATGTATGTTTTTTATTTATGCCAAAATTTAAAAATAATTTTGTGTTTTATAGGAAATCATTGTTAATGCTGCTGTTTTACCTATCATTAACCTTGTAGCTGATCCTGACTATATTAACCAAATTATTGTATGGCTGGTGAGTATTTCAAAAGACTGAAATAAAATATGAATTTATGAATAATAAGGGAATACAGTACAAAGTCTGAAATCTGGATGTTTTATTTCTGGAATTTCTGGATTTAAAATCCAGACCTTCAGATCATCAGTAACTCTTTTTTTTTTTTTTTCTCTTTTCTTTTAGAATATTTTCATGCTTTTTTCTTGTGCATTTGATGTTTATTTTATAATAAAACATGTGGAGAGTTCTAATTCTTAATTTCACTTATTACTTTTTGTTTTTATCTCTGCATCACTGTCATCAGACTGCAGCTTGAAAAATGACTCATGCAATGATGTCTAAACATTTTTTTTAAAAAATTTTTAATGTTAACAATAATTGAATACCAAAGAGCTTGTTGACATTACGCTTGATGATAATTACAGACTTCAGCCAACTCTATTGCGAAGTGTTGAATATATTAATGAGAAGAAATTTAACAGAAATTTCTTTCCATATGGGGGAAAAAAAATGTAAATAAACTTTTAAAGGCAAAAAGATCCTAAACAAAAGATAATGTTTAGTGCTGTCTGAATTGGGAAAAACTGATTTGTTATGCAGTTAAGTCAGGACATTTGCCAGAGCTCATGTGCCTACATAGTGTGATAGAATTTTCTGAATTTAGGAAAGCACTGAACAAAAAAATTAAGGAATGACAAAAGGAATTAAGGAAAGTCAAAAGTCGTTAATCCGGACATCCATAATCCGGAATGACCTATAATCCGGACCTCAAAGCTACACACTTTCTGCATGCGTAAATGCATATGCGCATAATACCTCTATGCATATGCATATGCATTGATGCGCATGCGCGTTTAATGTATAATGGACGGTATAAGCTAAGCTAAAATTATCTAATTCAGTTAATGTTGCAGATTGTGTTGTTCCTTAATCTTCGAATTGGATCTGGCTTATTATTTTTATTGCTGTTAGAGCAATTTTATAAAAGTAAACTTGAACTTTCGATTATGTCAAAAAGAATTTCCGATTCTGGAGCTGCCAAAGGTTCTACAAAGCGAAAGCATGTTTTGATGTCCATCAAACAAAAAGTGGAATTGCTGCAAAAAATGGATAAAGGCATATCCTTTGTTTCTCTAACCATTCCGAAATCTGTTTATAAATTTCACGCTGCACTGCTGGGGGGGGGGACATCGCAGCGCAAAATGAACTGGAAGTTGATCTATCAGCACTATCCTCATCTTCAGGGCAGATGTTTTTATTTTATTCGGCTTATAATCCCATACTAAATGTAGTATTTCATCTCGATGTACTCCATCTTTGATATGTTTTAAATCAAATTCCTCGTCATTATAAATATCACGAATGCACATCAAATAGTTTTCTGGTTGCAATTTTTTAATTTCGACTATGCGTAATGTATGCTTTACGCATGCACGCATTGAAAGAAATGTTTAATAAAGTAAACAAATAAATATTAAGTTTTTTTTTTTTTTTTTTTTTTTTTTTTTGTAAATTTTGATACCCTTTAGATCATAATTGCTCTTTATTACATAAGTTATGGTTTCATATTTTTAATTTTATAATTTTTCATGCCATCTTACCAGATTTAAATTGATGATCTATAATCCGGAAAAACCGATAATCCGGAATTACCAAAGTCCCGATGAGTCCGGATTAAAGACTTCTGACTGTAGCATATTATGGGTATAATAGCATAATAATGTACATAACAGCCACTGCTAATGTATATCAATATAATATCATAATGTATATAATAGCATTTGTTGGATAAATGATATATAGGTTACTGTGAAAGACCAAAATTGGAGAATGTCGACTTTGACCAGTGAATCTCAACACATACCAAATACATCAGTGAAAGACCGAATATTTGGTTAAATTCTTGTACATTCGGACCATCACCGGTGTATGTCAACAATCAGAGATATACCGTGGTGGAGGTCGAAAAAAGAAATCGAGTTCAACAGAGGGGCCACTGTCTGTCGCAAAATCTTTTGCTCTGCTGCAATTGAAGTTATGTAGCATGTATTTGTTATACTCTGGAACACTGTTTGTCAGTATTATGCTAGGTTTAATGGTACGTGCAATGTTTACTTAATTTTTTTTTTTTTTTTTTAAATCCATACCCTAATTTATGCTGAATGGATACTGCAGTGAATCGTGAGCTTTTCCTTGAAAAGTTAAATGCATTAATTTCGAGTAAACCAGAAGACAATTGTTTTTATTTTTCAAACACATCTTTCCTCACCGGGATTGATTACTCCTTATGAAGCTATGCTTGGCATTAAACCAAGAAGAGGCATAGCATCGTCTTTTTCGCCTGGTGAACAAATCGCAAATATTGAAAACAAAGAACAACTCTTAAGAAATTGCTAATACTTCTGAAACTGAAGAACAGCTTAAAGAAACTGTTAATACTTTTGAAGAAAATCTGAGCAGTGGCTATACCGAAAACCATATTCCAAAGAAAAATATTAAGGAGGACCTACCACGTCTTCCTATTAAGCTTAAACTGAACAACACAAGTTAATTTCTATAAAAAGATTGGCCACGAAAGAGAATCTTTTACTGCAAGCAACGAAAATGTTACGAACTTCAAAAAATATTTTCTCCTGCTCAAATTGGTGATATGGTACGAATACAAGTGCCTGATGTCGACCGTGGTCGTACAGATGGCCGAAATGTATTGGCAGTTGTTGAAATCAACTTTTACTTTCCATACATGGGATTCCTTCTCAAGTAATGTCGCTAAGGAAAGCAGCTACAGCTAATTCGAGAAGTTGAGGACAAGGCTATACACACTGTCACTGCAAAAGGAAGTGTTCCACAACTAAATGCAGTTCCCATGCTAGGGACTCTTGTACAATTCAAAATGTCATAAAAGTTTATGTTATTGCAATAAATAAGATTTCAATCACATAATTAAGTTTTTTTTTTTTTTTTTTTTTTTTTTTTTTCCTGTATTATTTTCTTTTTTCATTTAGAATGTATTGTTTCAGTTGAAAAGTTTATTCACATGTGCTGTTACTTAAGCTTTTCCATATTTTGACATATCCGGTATAAATGCAAAAGTGAAAAAAAAAAAAAGTTCTTTATTGACTAAATTTAAAACTAAATGCTTAACATTTATTCAAGCACGACTGCTGTCATTATTAAGAAGTCAAGTAATATCGAGTAGTCCTTCTCGCGTTAGAATCAAAAGCTGCATGTCACGCAGTGAAAATGCCTCTATAGAGTTAAGAACAACTCTTCTCACCAGGAATTGGTTACTCCTCTCAGCAAAACAGGCGAAAATGTTACGTCACCCTTAAAGTTTTATGGCACCTGAAATACGGAGAACAAAATGCAAATTTCCGACGTATTCAACATTCACCAGTAGTGCATGGTGAATGTCAACATTTGCTGGTGTAAGTCAGAAATAAAGATATTTGGCAAATATTTTGGACATGCACCAAGTGACTATGTGAATATCGACGTTCTCCAAATCTCAGTCTTTCACAGTAGCATATATATATAATAGCATAATGATGTAAATAATAGCATGTGTTGGCTAAATGTTTTAAATAACAATATGTAACTAAAAATATGTGTATTGTGCTCAACAGTTCCCGAGTGGATTAGACCACAGAGCACTGGTGAAATGACCTGGATTTGAATCCAGTCACAGTGACAGACAGTCAGAATACATGTTCATTTTTGATAGTTTTCTGAATGTTCAATGTAAATATGGGTTAGTAGAAATTCCTTATGAAGGCATCCTTCCCCTTAGTCCAACGATCCTTGTTGCTTTATAATATTCAAAACAAGAAACAAACAGAAAACCCTATAATATGTTTATACTATATATATAAAAAATGTGTATGTAGTACAGTCAAAAGTCATTAATCAGGACGCCCATAATCCGGAATGATCTATAACCCGGACCTCAAAGCTACAAACTTTCTGCGCATGCGTCAACACATAATGCGTTCACGCATCCACATATGTGTTGAAGCATGCGCGTAATACCTTTACACATGCGCATATGCGTGTACGCATCTGCATAATACATTTACGCATGCGCGTTAAATGTATAATGGACGGTATATGCTAAGCTAAAATTATCTAATTATTTACTTCAGTTAATGTTACAGATTGCGTTGTTCCTTAATCTTTGAATTGGATCCAGCCTATTATTTTTATTGCTGTTAGAGCAATTTTATAAAAGTAAACTTGAACTTTCGATTATGTCAAAAAGAATTTCCGATTCTGGAGCTGCCAAAGGATCTACAAAGCGAAAGCATGTTTCAATGTCCATCAAACAAAAAGTGGAATTGCTGCAAAAAAATGGATAAAGGCATATCCTTTGTTTCTCTAACCATTGCGAAAATCTGTTTATCAATTTCACGCTGCTCTGCAGGGGGGGGGACATCGTGGCACACAATGAACTTGAAGTTGATCTGTCAGCACCATCATCTTCAGGGCAGATGTTTTTATTTTATTCGGCTTATAGTTCATTACTAAATGTAGTATTTCATTTCGATGTACTCTGTCTTTGATATGATTTAAATCAAGTTCATTATAAATAGTTTTCTGGTTGCAATTTTCTAATTTCGACTATGCGTAACATATGCTTTACTCATGCGCGCGTTGTAAGAAATGTTTAATAAAGTAAACAAATAAATATTAAGCTTTTTTTTTTTTTTTTTTTTTGTAAATTTTGATACCCTTTAGATCATAATTGTACTTTATTTCATAAATTACAGTTTCATATTTTTATTTTTATAATTTCTGCATGCCATCTTACCAGCTTTAAACTGATGATCTATAATGCAGAAAAATCGATAATCCGGAATCGCCGAAGTCCCGACAAGTCCAGATTAAAGACTTTTGACTGTATTTTATGTTTGACTGCTTAAGCATTTTGTGAAGAGAATGCGTAATTGTTGTAAGCCAAGAAGTAAGTTATATTGTGAAAATGACTTACTGATTTCAAGAAAATAGGGAAGTGTTTTTTC